GTGGTGGGAAACTGCTTCCCTTTCCTGAGGCGCCGGATGGTTTGCCAGAATTTCTTCGAGGCCGACCGATAGTCCTCCTCCATGGCCTCCCCGAACTTTTCCCCGACTCGAGTTTTTGCTTCCGCGACTGCCCGAGCTGCAGTCCGCTTGGCCTGCCTGTACTTTTCGGCTGCTTCAGGAGTCCTACGAACCAACCAGGCTCGATAGGACTCCTTCTTGAGGTTGACTACTTCCCTTACTTCCGGTGTCCACCACCGGGTTCGGGGATTGCCGCCACGACAGGCACCGGAGACCTTACGTCCGCAGCTTCGGACAGCCGCATCAACAATGGAAGTGGAGAACATAGTCCACTCAGACTCAATGTCTCCAGCCTCCCTCGGGACCTGTTCAAAACTCTCCCGGAGGTGGGAGTTGAAGGCCCCCCTCACCGGGGATTCTGCCAGACGTTCCCAACAGACCCTCACGATACGTTTGGGTCTGCCAGGTCTATCCAGCTTTGCCCCTCGTAAGCGGAGCCAACTCACCACCAGGTGGTGATCAGTTGAGAGCTCAGCCCCTCTCTTCACCCGAGTGTCCAATACATACGGCCGGATGTCAGATGACACGACTACAAAGTCGATCATTGACCTCCGGCCTAGGGTGTCCTGGTGCCAAGTGCACTGGTGGACACCTTTATGCTTGAACATGGTGTTTGTTATGGACAAACTGTGACTAGCACAGAAGTCCAATAACAAAACACCACTCGGATTTAGATCGGGGAGGCCGTTCTTCCCAATCACGCCCCTCCAGGTGTCACTGTCGTTGCCCACGTGGGCGTTGAAGTCCCCCAACAGGACGATGGAATCCCCGGGAGGAGCACTGTCCAGTACTCCTCTCAGTGTCAGCAAGAAGGCCGGGTATTCTGCACTGCTGTTCGGCCCGTAGGCCGAAACTACAGTGAGGCACCTGTCCCTGACCCGAAGGCGCAGGGAAGCGACCCTCTCACTCAGTGGGGAGAACTCCAACACACGACTGGCAAGCTGGGGGGCTATAAGTAAGCCTACGCCAGCACGCCGTCTCTCACCGCGGGCAACTCCAGAGTAGAAAAGGGTCCAGCCTCTCTCAAGGAGTTGGGTCCCAGAGTCCAAGCTGTGTGTGGAGGTGAGCCCGACTATATCTAGTCGGTATCTCTCAACCTCCTGCACGAGCTCAGGCTCCTTTCCCCCCAGCGAGGTGACATTCCATGTCCCCATAGCTAGAGTGGTTGTCCAGGGATTGGGCCGTCGTGGTCTCCGCCCACAACCGGCACCCAAATCACAAGGCACCGGCCCCTTGTGGGCCTTCCTGCGGGTGGTGGGCCCACTGGAAAGCGGACTCACGTCGCTTGTTCGGGCTGAGCCCGGCCGAGTCCCGTGAGCAAGGACCCGGCCACCAGGCGCTCGCCTGCGAGCCCCAACCCCGGGCCTGGCTCCAGAGTGGGGCCCCGGTGACGCCAATCCGGGCGACGTGAACCTCTTTGATTTAATTATTTTCTTCATCACAAAGGGGGGGGTTGAACCGCTATTTGTCTGATCCGTCACCTAGGACCTGTTTGCCTTGGGAGACCCGTTAAGCCCCCGAAAACATAGCTCCTAGGTTCATTCGGATACTCAAACCCCTCCACCACGTTAAGGTTGCGATTCAAGGAGGGGTGCATATTTATATAATTAGGCAAAATATACGATGATATTTGATAGTCTGTGCTGAGGCATGACGTTAAGAACCTCAATTAAGTTGGATGTTTGGATCTTCTCCAGCAGTCACACTGACATCCTCTGTCTTATGTTTCTAGAGAAAAAAAAGGTTGATCTGATTATGATGCTGTATGTTTAGTTGCATCGTTTATCATCCATTAATGCCACAGTTGAGAAACAGCAATGGGAGCCAAGAGAACAACAACTATAAATAAAAATGTTTAGTCTGTGTCATACTGCAGTCGTCGATTTGACATGAAGGATAATCTTGAGCTATGGGTTTTCCCAAGCAACGGTGCTGAGATCTAAAGCTAAGCAAAACAAACTTTCCCAAATTGTGAGTCGGGCACTGGCTGATAGGTCGTCCGAGATATTTCTGGGGTCGCCAGATATGTGTTCGTTTCTTTCCATAAACAACAATTGGTTTAATAGAAATGTCAGTGTTTGATGATTTTTTTTTTGTTTTGTTTCTGTACCAGAGAGGAGAGAAAGGACCCGTTGTCAGCACTGGCGAGAGAGTATGGAGGATCTAAAAGAAACGCTCTGTTGAAGTGGTGTCAGAAAAAGACAGAGGGCTACCAGGTAAGTTAATGTCACCTCCGTGTATTAATCATGTTGACTGGCTCCATCAGATTTCTAGGACGGAGATGTGACAGTTAACAGAAAAGAAAAGCCATGCACAGAACTGAAAATTAACCACATATATAGTAATAATAAATAAAGTTATTGCTAACTGTCTGAAAATTTGATTCAAGCATAAGAATGTCAAATAAATGCACTAATAGTGAAGAGTCGTTGGAAAACGAGTCGGATCTAAGAGTTGAGTGAACAGAAAGTGTAACTTCTGCTTCCAATTCATGCAGGGGTCACCGAATATTTTAATGGGCAAGCCATACCGCCAATCAGATGCAAAGATAGATTAGAATTCTATTAACTTCATCTTACCAATATGTATTTTTGTTTTTAAAATAGAAAATAAATACAATCGAAAATATATAATTTATTAGTTATTGTAGCGGCCATAAGAACAGGACCTGTTATTGGTATTTGTAGAAAAAAAGAATTCTAATATAAACAACATAAAAAATTCTAAATGAGAATAAAACTATATTTAACTTTCTGACAAGAACAGCTGTGATTTATTTTTAGGCCAAATTGTCATATCAGCAGTTTAACCTCTTTCCTCACATAAAAACAACTATAAATGTTTCAGCATTATCTCAGAAATGACCTGAGTGATGAGGGAGTTGGTCTCTGGAGTGATGACCACACCAAAGTGATGATTACCCCCTTTTAAATGGTGTCGGTTGTGGTAGCCATGGCACCTGAGGTCTTCTCCAGGAAGTGTGCAATATTTAGTGCTTTGTGTGATAGCTGGCAGTTGGTTTTGTTAAAAACCATCGTTGGTTTTGTTAAAAGTCACACTGTGGAAAAGACACTAGATGTTATTCAGATGAGTCATGCTGATGTATTTTTTCTGGGAGTTTAGTTTAAGTAAAAAGTTAAACCCAACAATACACTATTTATCTACAGATAATTCCGTGACAAGTAGGTTTATTTCTTTCCAAAAATATTTGGAAACTGGAGACCTGCAGGGGTTACCATCTTCAAAACTTTCCATTGAAGTCAAAGTGTAACCTCATATTTCCTCAGAACATAGACATCACCAACTTCAGCAGCAGTTGGAACGATGGCCTGGCCTTTTGCGCCGTGCTGCACACATACCTGCCCGCTCACATTCCCTACCAGGAGCTCGCTGGACAAGAGAAGGTGAGTGATGGAGATTCTAGCACTTAAAATTTTCTCCTGGACACTGCTATCTGCCATTGACAATACAGTATGTCACAAAAGTGAGTACACCCCTCACATTTCTGCAGAGATGTCATTATAATGTTTAATTGAACAACACTGAAGAAACATCGCTTTGACACAATGAAAAGTAGTCTGTGTAAAGCTTATATAGCAGTGTAAATTTATTTTGCCCCTCAAAAAAACTCAAAATATAGCCATTAGTAGCTAAACTCCTGGTAACAAAAGTGAGTACACCCTAAAGTGAAAGTTCCTGAAGTGTCAATATTTTGTGTGGCCACCATGATTTTGCAGAACCGCCTTAATCCTCCTGGGCATGGATTTCACCAGAGCCTCACAGGTTGCCACTGGAATGCTCTTCCACTCCTCCATGACAACATGACGGAGCTGGGGGATATTCGAGATCTTGTGCTTCTCCACCTTCCGCTTGAGGATGCCCCAAAGATGTTCTATTGGGTTTAGATCTGGAGACATGCTTGGCCAGTCCATCACCTTTACCCTTAGCCCCTTTAGAAAAGCCGTGGTCATCTTAGAGGTGTGTTTGGGGTCATTGTCATGCTGGAACACTGCCCTGCGACCCAGTTTCCGGAGGGAGGGGATCATTCTCTGCTCCAGTATTTCACAGTACATGCTTGAGTTCATGTTTCCCTCAATGAAATGCAACTCCCCAAC